CCCTACGACAGGAGTCTGACACACGGTGGCCCTACGACAGGAGTCAGACACACAGTGGCCCTACGACAGGAGTCTGACACACAGTGGCCCTATGACAGGAGTCTGACACACGGTGGCCCTACGACAGGAATCCTACACACAGTGGCCCTACGACAGGAGTCTGACACACAGTGGCCCTATGACAGGAGTCTGACTCACAGTGGCCCTATGACAGGAGTCCTAGATACAGTGGCCCTACGACAAGAGTCTGACACACAGTGGCCCTATGACAGGAGTCTGACACACAGTGGCCCTACAACAGGAATCTGACACACAGTGGCCCTACAACAGGAATCTGACACACAGTGGCCCTACAACAGGAGTCTGACACACAGTGGCCCTACGACAGGAGTCTGACACACAGTGGCCCTATGACAGGAGTCTGACTCACAGTGGCACTATGACAGGAGTCCTAGACACAGTGGCCCTACAACAGGAGTCCTAGATACAGTGGCCCTACGACAGGAGTCTGACACACAGTGGCCCTATGACAGGAGTCCTAGACACAGTGGCCCTACGACAGGAGTCCTAGATACAGTGGTCCTACGACAAGAGTCTGACACACAGTGGCCCTATGACAGGAGTCTGACACACAGTGGCCCTATGACAGGAGTCTGACACACAGTGGCCCTACAACAGGAATCTGACACACAGTGGCCCTACGACAGGAGTCGGACACACAGTGGCAGTGTGAGCAGGACCAGGTAGGGCAGTGTGAGCAGGACCAGCAGTGTCATTTGACTTAACAAACGAGGATCGGATGTCGTCAACCTTCTTTTCAAAATGGTTGACGAAGTCATCCACAGAGAGAGAAGAGGGGGGAGGGGGAGGAGGATTCAGCAGGGAGGAGAAGGTGGCAAAGAGCTTCCTAGGGTTAGAGGCAGATGCTTGGAATTTAGAGTGGTAGAAAGTGGCTTTATCAGCAGAAACAGATGAAGAAAATGTAGAGAGGAGTGAGTGAAAAGATGCCAGGTCCGCAGGGAGTCTAGTTTTCCTCCATTTCCGCTCGGCTGCCCAGAGCCCTGTTCTGTGAGCTCGCAATGAGTCATCAAGCCACGGAGCAGGAGGGGAGGACCGAGCTGGCCGGGAGGATAGGGGACATAGAGAGTCAAAGGATGCAGAAAGGGAGGAGAGGAGGGTTGAGGAGGCAGAATCAGGAGATTGGAGGGAGAAGGATTGAGCAGAGGGAAGAGATGATAGGATGGAAGAGGAGAGAGTAGCGGGAGAGAGAGATTGAAGGTTGCGACGGCGCATTACCATCTGAGTAGGGGCAGAGTGAGTAGTGTTGGAGGAGAGCGAGAGAGAAAAGGATACAAAGTAGTGGTCGGAGACATGGAGGGGAGTTGCAGTGAGATTAGTAAAAGAACAGCATCTAGTAAAGATGAGGTCAAGCGTATTGCCTGCCTTGTGAGTAGGGGGGGACGGTGAGAGGGTGAGGTCAAAAGAGGAGAGGAGTGGAAAGAAGGAGGCAGAGAGAAATGAGTCAAAGGTAGACGTAGGGAGGTTGAAGTCACCCAGAACTGTGAGGGGTGAGCCATCCTCAGGAAAGGAACTTATCAAGGCGTCAAGCTCATTGATGAACTCTCCAAGGGAACCTGGAGGGCGATAAATGACAAGGATGTTAAGCTTGAATGGGCTAGTGACTGTGACAGCATGGAATTCAAATGAGGAGATAGACAGATGGGTCAGGGGAAAAAGAGAGAATGTCCACTTGGGAGAGATGAGGATTCCTGTGCCACCACCCCGCTGACCAGATGCTCTCGGGGTATGCGAGAACACATGGTCAGACGAGGAGAGAGCAGTAGGAGTAGCAGTGTTTTCAGTGGTAATCCATGTTTCCGTCAGTGCCAAGAAGTCGAGGGACTGGAGGGTAGCATAGGCTGAGATGAACTCTGCCTTGTTGGCAGCAGAACGGCAGTTCCAGAGGCTGCCTGAGACCTGGAACTCCACATGGGTGGTGCGTGCAGGGACCACCAGGTTAGAGAGGCAGCAGCCACGCGGTGTGAGGCGTTTGTATAGCCTGTGCGGAGAGGAGAGAACAGAGATAGACAGAGGCATAGTTGACAGGCTACAGAAAATGGCTACAATAATGCAAAGGAGATCGGAATGAAATGAACTAAACATCTGGGAAAGGCGAGAGCGGGGCCTCCCTCACTTACGTTTCACTGAAACACCCAAATATGACTCTCCCAACTTCCACCTCAGAAACTATAATTGTTGTAAACTACAGCAGTTCAATGTTTTCTAGGAATATACTAACTTAGTTTATTCAGCTAGCTAACTTGGTACAGTATTCTTCCGTGAAAATCGTCCAGGGCACCTAGTCATATGACGCCACAGCCAACTAGCATGCCGGACTCCAACAACACGGTTTAGCACCAATACTCGGCCACAACAAACCACCAGTGTGTCAACACGCCAAGCAGATAATTCGTGTCCATGTCTAACGTTGTGGGTTAGTCCCGACAGCTTGAGCGAGTCCGTCGTCAAGTTATTCAGCCAGTTAGTTAGCTAGAATTGTTAGCATACTAGCTAGCCATTGCTTTCAGACAACGAAGAAACCCCTCCTCCCACGGCAAGAACACACAGAGAGAGCCAAGCTAACGTTAACTAGTCACCCATGTCCCGAATTCCCTTGAATGACTCTGGCTACCAGTATGTAAAAACAAAACACAAATGTAGGTTATAACTTACCCCTAGCAGCTACTGTTAGCTAGCCAAGTGCAAAGCTAGCCACTGAATTGACTCAGCCAGTTCGCGTCTGTTCGCTAGGTCGTTCCAGCTATTGTTTAGTAGCCATCCAGGTAGCAACAAGCTAGCTAAATTTCAAGCACAGTAGCCACTTACTACCTAACGTTAACGCTTCAGACAATGAGGTTAGAAAAACAGCTGAATGGTAGGCATTATTGTATGTAATTATTGTAGGCAGCTAGCTGGCGTAATTACAGGTACTCTCAGGCGTGAAACAACTATCCACAGTTGCTAATAGTTACCCTTAGCTACCCGCTAGCTAGTCCAGGTAGTGGGTTAGCTAGCTTCGTGCTTCACTGGGCTCAGCCGAATACAATACTAACCTACAATAATTACATACAACAACCCACGATAACTACCTACAATACCTAACTACAATCTAAATACATAGTTTAAGCTTTACTCGACAAAGCCCAAACTATGTATATAAGCCATATAAGCCATATAAGCCATATAAGCCCGCCAGAGAGAGACACAACCTCACCCGACGACGACAACGAAGACGGCCCTACAACGACGACTCAGAGTGGCCCTACGACAGGAATCTGACACACAGTGGCCCTACTACAGGAATCTGACACACAGTGGCCCTACGACAGGAGTCTGACTCACAGTGGCCCTACGACAGGAGTCTGACACACAGTGGCCCTACGACAGGAGTCTGACTCACAGTGGCCCTACGACAGGAATCTGACACACAGTGGCCCTACGACAGGAGTCTGACTCACAGTGGCCCTACGACAGGAGTCTGACACACAGTGGCCCTACGACAGGAGTCTGACACACAGTGGCCCTACATTTTACATTTTTACATTTTACATTTACATTTTAGTCATTTAGCAGACGCTCTTATCCAGAGCGACTTACAGTTAGTGAGTGCATACATTATTTTTATTTTTTTCATACTGGCCCCCCGTGGGAATCGAACCCACAACCCTGGCGTTGCAAACGCCATGTTCTACCAACTGAGCTACATCCCTGCCGGACATTCCCTCCCCTACCCTGGACGACGCTGGGCCAATTGTGCGCCGCCCCATGGGTCCCTACAACAGGAGTCGGACACACAGTGCCCCTACAACAGGAGTCTGACACACAGTGGCCCTACGACAGGAGTCTGACACACAGTGGCCCTACGACAGGAGTCTGACACACAGTGGCCCTACGACAGGAGTCTGACACACAGTGGCCCTACGACAGGAGTCTGACACACAGTGGCCCTACGACAGGAGTCTGACACACAGTGGCCCTATGACAGGAGTCTGACACACAGTGGCCCTACGACAGGAGTCTGACACACAGTGGCCCTATGACAGGAGTCTGACACACAGTGGCCCTACGACAGGAGTCTGACACCCAGTGGCCCTACGACAGGAGTCTGACACACAGTGGCCCTATGACAGGAGTCTGACACACAGTGGCCCTACGACAGGAGTCTGACACACAGTGGCCCTACGACAGGAATCTGACACACAGTGGCCCTACGACAGGAATCTGACACACAGTGGCAGTGTTGAGGAAGGTGAAAGGTCACTGTAAAGCCAGACAGGTCATAGCCAGACCCAATAAAACCTGACACTATAATTCAATTTAACTGCGTTATAAAAGGACTCTGGAATTCTGACC